ATATATAGCTTTGATTTTTGAATGACAATGATATTTCTTCCCTCTTCTAAGGATACGTTGTAATTCCTTTTTTCTGCCAGTATCTTCATCCACTAGTCCAGTACTGCAGTGATGCAAACGCTTTTAATCGATTTTAGACGAAGCAACAGTCGAACCCACCCTGTTTCGCCCAAAATACCTCGTGGGAGCGTTTTACATCCCGGGGTCTGAAACCCACCTCCTGATGGACTGTATTAGTGGATGCCGTTAAATTTAGTTATATCCCGAGCAGTAGCCAATTTAATCAACTGTTCGCAAATAGGTGTGGACCTTTAATGAAAACAATTTAACGGAACTTTCAGAATTCTAGCTTAATTAGCCCAACAACACAAATGAGACTAATGTGAATTACGAAGATCAATTGTTTTGCACTTTTGTCGTCAAACGTACTACTTTTTGTGACTGAATGCTAGCCAATTTTCCAACCATTACAGCTCATACTAACCTTTGCCTTTAGACATTTACAAAGGCGAAAAAATATTCCTACATACCATAAACAACTCAAATAAAACTCATTAAAATCTGTTTCTTTGCTTGTGACTCAGCACGCAATTCCGCAGTTTAACTGTGGCGAGAGCCGAACGAAAGAACTTATTTAGGACAGCCGTTGTCAAAGAAACGAAGCCGCTATTCACGATAATCGTCGCTGGTTGCTGTTGTTGGCTTCAGATGGGTAGTTATGGGATACAAGTCTTTCAAATAGGCATAGCCCTTATTTGTTGGCTTTCTTCCCGAAGTTTGACGTACAATTTCTTGTTGGAGAACTTGATAGGGACGAAACTGATCGCATGTATTCCACGAATAGAGGCAATGGTTCGTATCCGAGGTAATTCTATAGAAGAGGAAGGTGTTTTGATCTCCAGAATTTTAATTTTATTCTCCTGAGCTTTCGGACTCTTACGGGAGTCCATCGTCAGAGATAAAACTTCAACGAAGAGCGAGCAACAGTTAGCGGGGGCAAAAATATCCCCAAAGCTCAGGAGAATAAAGTTACAATTCCGGTGATCGAAACGCCTTCGTCTTCATGTATTTCTTTCCAGCCATGTCTAGGAACATCGTATGGCCATCTGGCTCAACTAAACCTCTGAACACTTCGATGTTGGCGGCCTCAAAATCGAGATAGTTTAACTCATATAAATAGCTGGCGAACCTTAACGGGTTCCTTAGATGTTAGCACAAAGCTGGATAGCTGCGTCTCGAGGATGATGATATGCAAATAGGGGCGGGTTCCTTCACATGTATATCCAGAAAGAAATTATAGCGAAATTTTCGGGAATATCTACATTCCCAAAAGGCCATCCGATCACACCGGAGAGCACATGCGTGCTTCCCCTTCCGGGCTGACTGCCTGCTAAGTGCATGCTGCCGACAGCCTCTCATCCCTGGCTGTGGCAATAGGGCTTCCCTCGAACCCGATTGGTCCAAATCTCGAAGAAGTGACTCGACTCTTCTTGACCTTTCTTCTTGAAATGGGCTAGGCGAAGTCTTAGACAACCTAAACGGGAT